TTGTGGAATGAAACAGACTATTGTAATAAGCTACATATTCGATAATGACACATTTTCACAAATATCATGGATCTTATCGACTTTTTCTTCTATTATTTTTGAAAGTCTCTCATAAGTTTATCGATTTATTGCTGTACTAGTTTTAAAAAAGAGTTGAAGAATATCTCTAATACAGCTTACATCCAGCATTTGTATGCCAAATTCGATTTGTATTGTTTGTTTTACAATAATAAATGGCTCAAACTTATTCATTAATAGAAGTATTTGTATTCGAATGTCTGTAATGACTTGAACTAACTAAAAGATATTCATATGTTTTTTTTTTCGCGACAGATCTGTGCGACACGCTCTAGATTCGATTATTCATCAATAAGTCAAAATTAATTGACTTAAGGCCTCTTTCAAAATTGTTTTTCGACATAACGCATGAAGGTTTCCATGAAATTTTCTCAAGATGTTCAACTAATCAAAGTATAATATTCAAACAACTTTTATGACTCCAAACATTATCATTCAAAAGATTTTCATGAATCATAGCGCAAAATAGAGCTTTACGAGTACGAATGTTTTTTCAATACACTTCAAAATATAGTATTCTGGCTATTATCATTTCAAAAAGAATTTCTTACCACTTTTGACAAAGAAAAGTGGCATTTTTTTTTTTAATTTTTATTTAATTTTTTGTCAGCATCAATATCTTAAAGTTCTAAAAATGTTAGACAATGTTTTCTAGAAAGCTCATAATTGCTTTGATATTGAAGATCGAATACAAAATTCATTTCCCTCATTCGAAAGAGAATGCATCTATCTAGTGAATAAAGACAAACTACAATGCATTAGAACAAACACTATCGAAAGATATTTATGCAAAAAAAGAAACAATGTCAAAAAAAAAACAACACGCGAACATTTTCTTGTATATTTACTCGAGAAACTTTCTTACATGAGCATCAAATATGATTATATTATGTACTAATTAAAAATTCATATAGATTCTTATCGAATGGTGTTCTCGTTATATGTTGGATTATGATAAAAGGGCTGTAATTGCTATAGTACTTTTCATTTTTTCTATGGATATGATATATTGACCTATTCTCGTTGGAAAATTCTAAAACATAATTTCTGAAGAAATATTTTAAAATTGAAAGTCGTACTTATGAATTTTTAAGTCGGATACTTTAGGAGTCATGCCTAGGTAGTTATCAAACAAAGTGTTCTTTTTTCTAGAAAAATTAATTTTTTGGTGGTATGAGACCTTTAATAGTTGATTATTTTTGATCTAAACATGAGCTTTTGACTATCTTAATCTCATTTTTTTTTAATTTGAAAATGCTTAATCATAATATCTTGTTATTTGTTTTTGATCATCTTTTTTTATGAAAATAAGAAAAAATGTGATAGATAGACTTAAGTCTCTCTTAGAAATAACTGTGCCGTTCGCGTCTCCGGAAACTTTGAAAATGCTACAAGTGTTGGCGTAAGACTTTATTCTGGTTGACTCCCTAATTATAATCAGTACAAATAACATTTTTTTTCTATTAAAACTTCCTACGCATAAGTCAATTGTTATGCTTCCTGCGTTCCTGTTGTAGTCACAGCTGTTCATAGTACTCATACAATAGGTATTCTGTATTTATTAGTGTGTTCAAACCATGTCTGCTGGCATTCTCATTTAAATATTATGCTCTGCAGAGGAGTCATGAAGGACGATGCTTAAATCGATAAATCTTTTATCGAACAAGAATCATCCTTTAAGACTCGCCAGGATAATATTATATAGGCTTTAGATATTAGATAGTAATTAGCTTGTTTTTTTGTAGAAAAATTGAGTTTCAATATAGACTGCCTTTGAGTAAAGATAATAAACTATAATATATAAAGAGTTTGTTGCAGAAAGCAACTGGCTTTGTAATAGTAGACTTGAAGACATTATAATAAATATTGACTTTAAAACTATATAAATTACAACAGTAGATAATATTATTCCAGAAGTAAGTACAAAAGACAAAAGTTTACTTTCATTTATCTTCTTTGTTCTATTACATAGAAGTTCAGATAATCAAAAAAATACTTTAGTTTTCTATTTTTCCCCTATGCTTAATCTTTCAATCGGAATAGCATTGCATAAAATGATCGATCAAATTGTTAGTTTTTCGTGAAGCTATTTCATTTCATATCTCTTTTAACGTCAAATGTTGAATATTAGTCTTTGGAAAAATCATTTTGTTACCTTAATTTGTTTTTTTCTCGCTACATCTCATTTCAAATAAACAGAATGATTCTGACGATATGATGACCTAGTATTTTTTTACGATAATAAGAAAAAGTAGTGACGTAGTTAAGCTGTACAAGAGGTGCTCCAGGATTTTCTAAGAAATATTTTTAATAAGTGCAATTACGTATGTGATTTTTCAAGAGATTTTTAAGAGAATAAGACTATTTTAGAATATTTTGCTATTATCATTATTCAAAGCCTTTCATACATAGAATTTACTTAAGATCATTACCAGAATTGTATATTTGAAGAAAAAGAGTTTTATTATACAACAATCAATATTTACAACAGAAAAACTAAGATTTTATCTTCCTGATAAATGTAGTTTCAACGTTGTTTTTGTGTCCTAATACAAGTACTGTATCAAAATAATATGTTAAGGTTTATTCTTATCGATAAATAGAGGTTAGAGTACTTAGTTGTGTCATATTTAGTCGAAAACTTAAAATGAATAATTTCTACTTTGTCAATACTTTTTCCTATTGAAAAATAATTATTAATAAAAAAATAAAAGTGAATGATTTTGAGAAAATATTTTTGATAACAGATATTAAAGTATAAACCATTACTTCATAAGATGCTAAGAATGACATTTTTTATAGTAATTTTTCTACTTATCGTTTTATAAATCATATTTACGTATTTATCTAATGTCAAAAAGAATCATTGTTTTTGAGTTATTGACTAAGTCAAAAATACACTGATGCTAAAAGTTAAGTCTTTTTTTTCATTTTATGAAAGTTTGTTCTAGTTTATATTAAATTGTTTAATCATCAGCACATTGAACAGATCATTTTTTTTCTTCTTAACTACATATAAATTTTGATTGGAAATAAGAATATTTCCATTTAATTAAGAGTGATAGGAGGAAGAAAGTCAATATAGCCTATTGAAAAAAAAAGTCGATTTTCATCGAATAATATTTCTTATTCAATTAAAAGGCAAGAAAATCTTTGATACTATCTGAAAATGTGGCTTTTACTCACTTTAAAAGCAAAACAATATAGTCAATTTTAATCTTGTCTCCTGCATTAAAATCGCGTGATTTATCTTATAATAAGAATATACAATAAAAGACAACGGTTTTTCTTTTACATTACTTAGTTTGAGATACTTACATTCGTTGCTAATAAACAATTGTTGTTGTTTTGTTTTTCATGAATATTAATACTGCCCAGCTTTGTTTTATATAATCAAAGAAATTTACGGTACGTTTAACCGAGATTGTATATTTCACGTTTAAAATCTTTTTTTCTTCCGATTTCAATTCGATCAAGGGAGATTAATTCCAATCTATTTATTTGTACTTCTCAATATTTCTGAGATATTTTCTGTATATTTAATTTATTTTTACGCTACGGTTATTGATTTTTATTTGAGAATATCTACAAATTCTAAATTCTTCATAATCGATTCAATGTTTTCAATATAGATTGTTGTATAAAAATCCTTGCGTTCTCTTTTGTTTTTATGGATCTAGAAACAAGCAGATAGTCTTGCAGTTCGAATAATTATTGTAAAATTAGTTGAAATAAACTTTGCATCCTATAATATTTCAAGTTATGATTAGCAACAGAGAATAGTCTCATAGGAATCAATAATGACTTGAATTCTATTCAATCAATAATTAACCTTTTTTTTGTTTTTTCTTATCTTTCTTTTAACAATTCCCTAGAATATTGAGTTCAAAGACTATTTTTCTTTTATGTTATCATAATAAAAGTATAAGTTTTAAAACTGAACAAATCTTTTAGTTATTACATCACTAAAAAACTATCTATATAATAAAATAGTTTCTTTTCTTTTTTACTTTTAACGAAAAGTGTAGAATATTCGTTTTAATATACATACTCAAAAACAAAATTAAGTTTTAGTCATCTTTATTATCTTGAATTTATGAAGATTAATTTAATCAAGCCGATGGAAAATGTCAAATAATATCAGATTAAGATAGATATTATATTTATCTTGATAATCTTTTTTTGTATCTTAGTTTTATTACATCATGTTTATTTCATTAATAATACCAAAAGAGGCTAATGTTATTTTATTCAAATGATACTGATTACTAGTGGTAAAATATATTTTTATATACTGTCTAATAAGATTTATTTGATCATGACTGTCATGTCAAATTTTATTTCAGTAGGAAAAGTTTTGTTTCCTTTGATCAATAGAATTTATTAACTTTATGTGAAAATAACTTTTCACTTTTTTTCTTTTTTCATAACTATTGAATCAAAAACTGTTAAAAGACTTACGCAGGATAATGAATATTATTTAACCGTAATTTAACATTTTCTTTATTATAATTGCAAAAGACCCATCTTACATATGTTTTCAACTTTCTATAGCCCTCATTGAAAGAATTTTTATACTTCAGACCATTTTCTTAAGTTGGTTTTCTTTGGAAAAATAATGAATTAAGATATTTATACTAGCCATTGAATTTCTCGAGGCCATTTTTTTGATGAACATGTTTAAGACTTATTTTCTAGTCTTCAGTTCAATTCACTTAAAAATGTACTGACCGTGAGATAAATATATAATTAAATATTTGTACTTTAAGTATTTTTATAAGTTTTTTTATGTTATTCTCTAATAATTTTTAATGAGTCATATATATGTATATATAAGGATGAAAGCATTTTTTATGATTTCTTTTATAAGATTATAACAGTGTTAGTAGTTGTTTAGGAATTTCCTTCTAGATCATATGAATATGATGATATCTAAAGTGACAATTCCATATTTCTTATTGATGATGGTTTTGATTTATATTGTTCAAGCAAGTTTTACTGAAGTACCACGTATGTATTACTTTTTGTTTTTTAATAAGAATATTTAATATTATTCTGAAGAATATATTATTTTCTACTATTTATTTTAGCTCCACCAAAACGTCCAGAACGATTTCATTCACGAGACGAATTAAAAAGATATTTACAAAAAGTATTGAAAATTAAAAAAAGTTTCATTTTGTTTCTTTTTTTTTAATTCATTCTATTCATATATAGGTTCATGAATATCATACGATTCTTGGTCGATGGCGTCTTCGACGTAGTGATGATAAACATCAAGTTTCAAGTACATCAAATGATGATTTATTTAAATTTTTCGACATAGATAATGATCACTACATCTCATTTAATGAATTTTTTCAACGAATGATGTTTGACAAAGAAAATTAATTTTATTATTTCAATTGTCATTTAAATTAGTGGTTTAAGTACTTTTACGTACTCTAATATATGCTATACGATTTTATTTTAAAATGCTTAATAGTTTGAGTTTGTTGCAAAAATCATCAATAAATATAATAATATACATATTTATGTATGTTATTTAATTAAATAAATATTCTTTTATTTTATTTGAAATTTAATAAAAAGTTCTAGAAGGAATATAAAGATTTTTAATCATAGTAATATAATCTACAATAAGCAGGACATCAACATATGAACATCATATGCTTCGGGCTTGAAAGGATTATTTAATTACCGTGAATATAGAAAAAACGGTGCTATTTTTTGTTCTTCTTCGTATTTAGTTTTATTATCAAAGATGCATACTTCTTTGAGTCTTAATCTTTTATTGCATAGAATTTTTGACACAGAGTATTAATAATTTGTTTAAATATAAGATTGAGCTATTGCTAATTATTAAATTCATCATAGACATAAATGATAGAAAAATAATAAACTCGACCTTATCTATGGAGATTATCTATATACTTCAGATTTTACTCAATTAAAATATTTACTCTTGAGAACTTTTTTCTTTTAGAATTATGTGTTATTATTAAATGTGAAAATTAACAAATAAAGACATGATGCACTTAGAAATAATTTTCTATATGCATGCAGACATGACTGAAGACGAAACATGTCGGAGATATTATTCAACATCTAACTGATATATATATTTGACAGACACATTCAATATTAACAATTAGAAAAAAAAATAGATATATATTTAAGTCATGAATTTACTACGCCTTTGCCTTTATTGTTTATGTCTAGTACTATTGTGTCAATATTGAGATGTTTTATAATAGATCCAAGGGCTTTTTTTTGATAAAAAAAATAGAATTTGTGGTTTATGGATCATAATGTAGATGCTATAGAAATTAAATATTAAAAATTGTTTTGTTATTGATTCTAATTCTTGTGGTGGAATGAACAGGAAATTGTGGATGGTAGAAGTATGGCACATGCTCTTAGAGATAATCGATGCGATATAGTGTCAATGATAATCACTCTTATGTTTTTCTTTGTTCTCGTCATAGGGCGGTGTCTGACTTAGCCTACGCTTACACTAATTTTGTGAAATTGTTGCATTCAATAAAAAAATGAAAATCAATTTTAAGATTTTTCTTAGATTTATAATATAGAGTATTTTAAATAAATTTTTATATGCATGTATTTCAAAACAAGAAAAGTCGTTTCATAAGTACAGATAACATTTTTTTTTTATCAAGAAAATCTTTGCTATTTAATTAAATCTTTTTACTCTTTGTTTCAATTGAACTATTTATAATTGCGAAGGTTTTCTGATATGAATTTAATAATGTTAGTTTTATCTGCACAAACTGTTGGCGATATTTTTATTTGACTTTTTATTAGGAAGTTAGTTATTTTATTATCTAAGATTTATTAGCAAATAAATTCTTAGTATAATGATGAATTTTATTTGTTCGTCTATGACAAATTATTCAAAATTTTTAGAAAAAATAAACGAAAGAAAAGTTCAACTAAAAATAGTCATAAGAAGACGATCTCGTTAAGATCTATTGACTTTTATTTTCTTTATAATTCAAAGTTCATATTGAATAGATTCTATTCTGCACTATTAACTAATTAAAATGTGCTTGATCAAGTCGAAAGACTTTTTTCTTTTTTTTGCTAAAATTAATTCAATTGAAATTATTTCTAAAACATAATAGATTCTTACTGATGGAGTATTTCTTATTGTATTCAAATTAAAACATTAATCTTTTAAAATAAATGTATTGATTATCTAGATGAAAAAAGAACACGAGTTCAATATTTAGTTCAACATATGGTTTTATCAATGTATCAAACAAGATAATAAATATATCGATTATCTTGATTGATTAATAAACTTTACGATGTATGAAACATCTATCATAAGTTGCTAAGATTCTCATGTGAAACAAGTCAAATTTCATGTAATTCAAGTGAATATTAGATAGATTTTTATGAAATTTGATTAATAGATATTATTATCATTGAATTTATTTTATAGATCGGATAATTTTTTGATTTGTTATCTAACACTAATGACGAACAGTATATTCTAACATATTGGTCATATGATTCAGTTGAACAGAAGCTATTTGTACAGTATACTGATGAGTATAGAAGAACGATGTAATATTTACCTAGGAATATATAAAACAAATATAACAAGCAATGAAAACTATAGCTTAAATATGACTCCGAAATGATAAATAATTCTTCAACAAAAAAAAAAAAAAAAAAAAGAACAAAACTGTTTCTTCTATCGTCTATGTTAATCTTCTTTGATAAATTAGTGAAGGAAATTTAATCATATATCAATTTCGAAAACAAATCTACAATCGATATATTCAAGTTTGTTTATGTTATAATTACTATTTCTTTGTCTGATAACATGATTGTTCAACTAATATTTGTTCTTTTGTTTTATATAAACATTCCGTACATTTGTTATCAAGAAATATGTTATTGACAATTCTATTGACATTTATCCGTGATAAGTTTTTATTGAATTAAAGGTGTCATACAAGGTTAATTCCTAACATGACTATTATTGATTTCGATATAGAAATAACCAATGAAATTTATGGCGTCATTTCATGCGTGTTTATTTATTTACTTTATTAGTAAAAAATTTGTACTAAAATGTCAGACATATGATCACAAGAAGGGTGTATGTACCTGTTATGCTTTACGAAGATTTTCGTTCTTTTTTAGGAAAAAATCATTATTTTTAATGTGAGAAAAAAATTTTACATTCGTCTACTTTTAAAAATTTTATATGCACTTTTGAACCCATTAGGAAAAATTTTTTTGTTGAACGTTGTTCAATTTTGTTTCCGTCACCATATCCTTGAAGAATATAAATAGAAAGAAAAATCTATATTTAGGTTTTTGTTTATACAATTAAATGTTTGATGTATTTATCTATATATATTTCAAGCCAAGGTCGTACTATGAATTGCTCTTTGATCAATATTTGATTGATGTTATAATCAGGCGAAATGTATAGAGTGCATTTTCATGATTAATTAGACTGATTTTGTTGTAAGATTCCATTTATATAATGAAATTGTTCTGAACTATTTGCAACAAAAATAATGCTTAGAACTTATTGTGAATTCTTTTAATGTTCATCATATTAAATCAGATCATTTGAATAAGAAAAAATAACAAAAAAAAATTCAGTAAGTTTTTTCATAATTCTTAATCGATATCCTTAAAAATTTAAAGACAAAATTATAAAACCAGTAAGTTAATAACAAATATTATTGTTAAAGTTAAATATTTATATTAATTTGGCATTGATTCATTTATATATTTGATTCTTCATTTGTTAAATAACTTAATGTCATAATCATTATATGTTCGAAAATAGTTTGTCATATTGACATTTCTTTTCTCGTTGTCTGTTATTACCATTCTTCATTAAAGCGAACATATACAACAAGAAAACTAATCATTATTTCGAGGTCAAAGCATATGCAATTGTCATTCAATTCTAAACTATCTAACAGTGATATTTATATATATATATATATTCGGCATGTTCATTTTTTTTTATTATTATTATTACTATCATCGAATCTAAATTGACCATAGATTAGATCTTTTCTTGTCTCCTTTTTTTTCTATGAGAAAGTTATATTTCAAAATGATTGAAATGTTTTTAATAAGTTTCTTCTTTCTTTTTTTTTACGAATTAATTCAGACCTTATGAAAACAATAAGAGTCATCTCATGATTAGTGGTGTATTCATTTTATGTGGACAATGCGTACCGTTCATATATGTCTACACGCAATGTCCAGGAGATATAATTGTTCTCTTTATTATTGTTAAGAAATTTCCTGTATTTAAGCATCGTCTATCATGATCAAGATCATTGTGTCATTAGATAAATCTAATGTGTATCTTCTACTGATGATTAGAAAAATATAAACAAAAAGTCAAATAGAAATCAATCTAATCAATCGATTTTTTTTTCCTTGTGCTCTCTTGTCCTTGGTACTATAGTACGTGAATGTCTCATAATAGTAACAATGTTGTTATTATCGCTTTGTCTGTCTCTCAAGAGATATTGTCAACGATAATAATGATTGTTTGTCTTGAAAGCTATATTGAGATCTAGATAGAGAATGAGAAACTTATGTAAAATTACGCACGCGGAACTCGACAAGTCTCTTGAGATAGAAAGAAAAAGATTGATTGAAAAAAAAAAAAAAAAAGAAAAAGTTCTTCTTCAATTTTCAATTGAACCATGACCATGTCTGGAAATAATGTTGATAACAGATTACATCATCATCATCAAGATCGATTGTACTTGAGAGATAGAGAAAAGAAGTAAAAGAGAAAAAGAAAGAAGACGAAGATGAATTGTAATGTTCTCCTTCTTTCTCATTTTCGCACTTCTATTCTAATTGAACATACATACAAACGACTCGCTCGTGTTATAACTACCAACAAGCAAATTGAGATGAAGAACAAATAAGATTGACGTAAACAACAATTGTGAAATCTTATCTTCATCGTCTTTTCTACTAACAACAACAACAACATCATCATCATCATCATCATCCTCCAGGGTTTATATACATAGTGAGTAGGAATAAAATATGTTGATTTACTAATATAAACATGAATAGAATGTTGGTTGATGTCGTTTTGCTCGATTTCATCATTTTTTTCTTCTTCGTCGTTTTTTTATTATTTTTATGACTGTAACAGCAGTGTTCAGCTGTTGTCATTTTTTATTGTTTGTTATGTTTAATGAATATATATATGAGACTGAAATATTCCATTTTAAACATCGAAGAGTAAATCTTGTGCGAGAAAGAAAAAAAGAATTGTTTTTCTTTTCGAGAGCAAACTCATAAGATGTTCATTGATGAAATCGATTTATGATGGCAACATACATCGTAATCGGATGGAA